CCGCCGTCGCCCACACGTCCCGCGCCTGCCTGGCTCTGCGCTCCCCCGACTCCCAGGTAAGGATTGAGGGCGAATTGGGAACTCAGGGGAGGGCGTGTGGGGACAGAGGCGCACCGCCACCGCGAGAGAAGCCACTTGCATCTCCCTTTTGGCTGGCTCTGCCTTCAAGAGGTGCTTTCCTTGTCCGCGCTTTCTCCATGGGAACATGGGAGTTGACCCAGCGCCTCTGCTGCGTTCTATCAGAGTAGGAACAGGTGGGATTCCCGCAGGTACCAAGAAGGGACACGTTGTCCCCAAGTCATAAGCCGTCCAGAGCGAAAGAAACCGTGTTTAGTGTGGGTAGTCTTAGGAGACATTTAGATTCTTAGGGAGTAGAAATGAGACTGAGACTTAAGGGGGAGGGGGGCTTCATAATAGACATTATTACACTTCTGGATTTTTTTCCCCTCTGATTAACAATCCAAAGACACTTCGGGAAGTTATGGGGAAAAGAGAAATAGAGAGGCTGAGGAGAGTAGGTTTGGGTGTGTGCACGTTTGAATGAGCAGAACTGAAAGACTTTACAGGCTTAAGGCGCTGGACAGAAAATACTTGCCCAATCCAGCTAGTTACTCAGCTCTGCGGAGTGGATATTACATCTGGTGCTGAGGCTAAAAAGACTCGTCAATAACCCTTAATTCTTTCTCTCACTTTTCTTTCCCTTCATTTAAACGAAGAGGAACTCTTCTGCAGTCTGAGTTTTGAAGCTAGTACTAGCCTCGAGTTTGTCAGTTAAAGTATGAAGTTTGCCCTTCAACCTGATGCACTAATTAATCCCTCCCTTTCATCCTTCTGATGCAGTGTGAAAAGAAGAATAGAGTTCAAAAAGGTGTCTGAGCCCATCCTATTCTCTATTTAATGATGCCAGATAAAAAGTGCTCACCAGAATGGAGAAATTGCTTCTTTTCCCTCCTTCTTTAATCTATAAAGCCAGTAAGAACCCCCTGTAAGGATGGAGCACCTTTTTGTTTGTACAGCTACCTATGAGCTTCCCAGACTTAGAGCAGCACCTGGCAGAGAGCCGTATTAGGTGCCCTTGAGCTGTATACCCCGAATGAGAAGACCACAGAGGCTAGGAATGGGAAAGTGACAGATCTCAAATAAACTTTCAGAGGGAAGGGAGTAATGAAGAAGTAAAACTAACTCACACATCTCTTTTCATGTTTCTGTTTGTATTTGTGTTAGTTCTAGTCAGTCATTGGGTGAAAGAAGACTGGAAACATGTCCGAGTTCTGGCTGATTTCTGCCCCTGGCGATAAGGAAAATGTACAAGCCCTGGAGAGGATGAATACTGTAACTTCCAAGTCCAACCTGTCTAATAATACCAAATTTGCTATTCCCGACTTCAAGGTAAAATTCATGGGAGGAAGGAAGTTGGTGTGGTGAGAGTAGGTTGTTGGTTTTTTTATTGTTATTGTTATTGTTGTTGTTTTTTTAAAATCAAGGGGAAAAATGCCAGGGCAAAAACAGGAACACTGAGGCCCATTCTGAGGTTAAGGATGAGGGCGGGGGTGTGGGGGTGTGGGGCGACAGTTTGGATGAGACATAGCTCAGAAGTAATTGTGGTACATGCAGCCATGACCCAAGTCACAGTAAAGAATGAACAGGGGGAGAAGACGGTGGGTAGCCTTGTCTAATGGCTCAAAATGTAGAGAATTTTATACACTTGCACCTTCATGTCCTATCCTCAAGTTCTCATTATTTTGTCTTTAATGTCAGAGGAGACCGATATAGTTAAGACATGCCAGCTTGGAGTGCTTCAGCCTTGCTTGTTTTCTTGACTACTGGCTAGCGAGAAAACCCAGGAGCCTTTTGGGTTTACTGAGGGCAATGGAGAGGATTTAGTAATCACTTGGTGAGTGGCAGAAAGAAGTTTGAGTAATGCTGGAGAGTCTGAGGGCTCTTGTGGTTGGTGGAGGACAAAGTTAAAATAAAACTAGCCTTAAAGAGTAAAATATGTACAGTCTTCAAAATGAGCGACGACACAGGGTTCTGAACTCAGATCTTGCTGACTTTAAAACCTGCTGCTTTCCCCAAATGGGGAACTGTTGCAGCATAGTCCACAGAGAGCTGTATTGTAGCCAGAAATCTATTGCTTCTCTGGTGGTTCAAAACCATAGGCCGTTCCTTGGGAGAGAGATGGGCAGTCTCCTCCCTTGTGATTTACAGCCTCTTTTGAAATGCCCCTGGATGTCAAGCTATGAGTCAGATTTGACTTGACAGCAGTGACTTTGACTTTGACATTCCCGCCCCCGCCTGGAACAGACATAATGAAAGTTATCCTTAATGTTTACTATGTCTAAGAGACTCTGCCAGACTCTGGATAATACAAAGAGGAAAAACAAAGTTACTTCAAACTCATCAAGTCTCTTGAAAAGAAGAAGCTTCACACTATCATTGAGCTAGCTGTCCAGACCTCATAATTTTCTAAAGATTTTTTAGTTATTATACTAGTTTATTTACAAAATTCAAATATATTTTTTCCCAGAGCAAATTCTTCCCATTTCCCTCACCCCCAGCCCATCAAATTGTACAACACCATGATTAATGCCTCCCACCCCCTTCACATCCTCATCCCTCTGCTTCCACCCTCCTCCCTTGGATCCTTATAATCATTCTACAATAATGGTTTTAGACAGTATTTGTCCTTGTGGGACTGAGTTAGTTACCTAAAAATATTTTGATGTCTGAGTCAGGGTTGGTCACACAATAGCAATACTTTTCCTTATGATTCTATGAGTAGTCTTTTATGTATGCTTTTTGATATTGTAATACTTTCCACATAAAGAAACAAAAGTAATGTTGTAAATAATTTGAAAAGAAAGGACTTTGAGAATGATGAAGTGAAGGGAAAAACTGTTTTTCCCCCTCCCTTCCCCTATAAGATCATTGCCAGTACAGCAAAGGACAAAGGAAGGCATTGGTGGGAGAATCTTGGAAGAAAGGATTTTAGAAATGATAACACCTTACACTTTTTGCTGATATATCCATTTATCAGTTACTAGTTATGGTAATAGTGGATCACCAATCAAAAACAGGAAAGAGCTGAGGATGGAGACTCTGAAATAAGTCATTCCTTGTTATGGGAAATGTGATGGTTTCTTCTGAGGAAAAAAGAACATTCCAAAACCCACCACTTTTCTGCAGCTTTGGCATGGCCATTGACCACAGGCAGCTTACTCAAGATTATAGAATTTGTAATCTTGATTGATAGGATTCCCTTTCCTGTTACTGAATAGAAGAACTTGTGGTGACCTAATGCTAAGGAGTTACGTTGCCAACCCAAAGGCAGGTGGTTTGAATCCACCAGTTGCTCTGCCAAAGAAAGGTGGACGGTCTCCTCCCAACCAGTTTATTGCCTCTGAAACTTGCTAGAAGGTCAGCTGTGGGTTGGTTCTGACCCAGTGATACACCACAACAACATTGTTGAAATTGTGCGTGTGCTTATAGCTTCTTTATGATCTTTCTAGGTGGGGACCTTGGATTCCCTTGTTGGTCTCTCTGATGAGTTGGGAAAACTCGATATCTCTGCTGAGAGGTAAAATACTTCTTATTTACTACATACAAGTGCAAATGTGACATTGTTGTCAGAGAACACAGTGCTCTTGCTGTGGCTGAACCTGTACTTGTCTAAACTAGGTCCAAGAAGTCAGCTGAAGGAGCCCCGGCCAGGCTGCCTGAGAGGGCCTCACCCATGAAGGCAGTTGATGAGTAGGGGGAGTTTAGTTTGCTGAAGGCAGCATGGTTTTTAGAGACCTTTCCAAATGGAGAAGGCCATGATAAAAGGTGCTGAAAGCATAAAAAAGGGGGGAAATGAGTAGTTTTTCTCTAAAACATTTGTTTTCCTTTGTAGTAACATAGACATATAGTAAAAAATTCAGCACATATAGTAACAAGTTCAGCTTATACAAAGTGGAAATTGTTTCCCTCTTACCTACTTTCCTATCTTAAGTTTTCTTTTGAAGCCATGCTCTTATCACTGTTTAAGAGTCTTCCAGCAATAGCCTGTACCAAACACACACAAACACACACACACACACACACACACACACACACACGAAACAACCCACCACCAAAACCCTCCAAAAACCAAAGGAAGAAGCAAACACAAAAAACCCAACCAAACCCGTTCCAACCATGGTAGCCCCACCATAAGATATAGAAAAATTCATATAGTCTTATGAGCATTTGAGGCCACTAGCTGCTCCACAGGAGAAGGATGGGCAATCTCCTCACGTGAGATTAACTGCCTCTGAAAACCTGCTGGAGGATCAGCTATGGGTTGGTTCCAACTCTATGGTACACAGCAGCATACAGCAACAACATATGAATATATTATTTTTATTTTGTTTTATATTGGTTTGCATAAAAAATGTGTGTTTATTATGTTTCATTCATGTCATTGTTTCATGCATTCTTCCATTCACATTGTGTTTCAGACGATCACTTATATACATTGTGTTTTATAAAAATTAATCACCAGTGATCTATACCACTCTTATCCTGATTCAGATCCCCATTGGATCTCTCCTCCCTCCTCTTCCCCTTCCCTCTTTGAAATTTTGTCCACATCTTACTAGTTATTCTCCTATTTTTACAATAATGGTTTTCTGCATTATTTGTCCTTTTGAGATCAAGTTAGTTCACTCAGCATAATGCTGTCTAGACTCTCACATGTTATGTAGCATTTTACAAAATTGTTCCTTTATGTTGCATAGTATTCCATTGTGTGACAGTACCACAATTTCTCAGCCCATTTCTTTGTTGATGGACATTTGGGCTATTTGCATTTTCTTGCTATCATAAATAGTGCTTCTGTGAACATAGATGTACAAATCTCCATTTGTGTCTCACTTCTATTTTTCTTGGGGTATAGGAATCTATCCTTAAAAATATTCCTCTCTCTCATTGCTGTGAGTCAGAACGGACTCATAACAGACCCTCTAGTGGCTTTTCAGAGGCTGTAAATCTCACAGGAGACGGCCCACCGAATTTCTCCTGAGGTGCTGCTGGTGAATTTGGACTGCTACAGAGGCACCATCTCTTAAAAATAGTTTTCTACAAGTGATAGTATACTCTGCACCTACTTTTTAAAAATTTGGCAATGAGAATGACATAGAAGGAAGTGAGAAGAGTGCTGTTATAATGTGGGGACTATAATTAATGCCATAATTCATGAATCTATGAATGCTTGAAATGTAAGCCATTTTGCTCTGTGAACTTTCACTCACCACACAAGAAAAAGGGGTTTTTAACTTATTTTTTATTATTAATTTTAATGAAAATTTACAGAGACTTTGGATTTCCATTCATTCATTGTTGCACTAAGGAAAAAAAAAATTTAAATGGTATCTTAGAGATGGCTTCATGTCACTCCTTAAACATACACCCCCAAACCCTACTGCTGTGGAGTCTGTTCCAACCCTTCGCAACTGTCCACCTGACTTTTGAGCTGTGGAGGAGCCTGCCCTTCTTTCTCCCATGAGTGCCTCATATATTAAGTCGCTGACCTTACAGCCTAGTGGTTAGTGGCCTCAGACTTAAGACTGGCTTAATTATCCCTCCAGGGCTCCTTAGATAGGAATCTTAGGGGGCAGTTAGTTAGTATGTTAATTGAGGAAGAACAGCCTCAGAAAGGAGGGTGAGAATGGAGATTGCACAACTTGAGAATGCAGTCAGTGTCACTGAATGGTCCATGTCACAACTGCTGGATTGATGTGTGTTTTGCTGTGTGTATATTCTCAGCAGCATCTTAAAAAGTGAAATTTCTTGGCCAAAGAGTGTATGCAATTAGTGTTTTGTTGACCTGCCCAGACCCCTCCAAGAAGTTGTTCTCATTTACACTATCACCACAAAATCTATTCAAATTTTTAAGGGTCTTGAAATCATGTAGGGTTTTTTGTTTGGGCTTTTTGATGTTGTTGTTGTTTCATTTATATCTGACAAATCTGGTGGTAGTAATAATAATTGGAAAGTATTTATACCAAGGACCTCTCCAAAGTGCTAAAGAGCAATTCTGTCAGTTTCAAGATCAAGGTACACCTGATCCAAGCCATAATCTTTTCAGTTACTTACTGTGCATCTGAAAGTTGAACAAGGAATAAAGTTGACAGAAGAAAAATTGATGCTTTGGGATTGTGGTATTGGAGAATGCTGAATATACAATGGACTGCCGAAAGAACAAACAAGTCTGTTTTGGAGGGAGTGCAACCAGGGTTCTTCTTAGAGGCAAGGATGATGAAACTGTCCCTCATGCTTTGCCATGTTGTCAGGAAGGGCCTTTCTGAGAAAAGTCAGAGAAAGAAAAGTTGGCTTTCAAGGAGATGGGTTGACAGAGAGATTGTGACAGTGGGCTTGAGCATATCGGAGACGGTGGTGATGGCACAGGATGGGGCAAGATTCAGATCTGCTGTTCATTGCAGTCACTGTGAGTCTTTGTCAACTCCATGATACCTAGCAACAATAACAACACTTATGTATCATGAGAAAGTACAGAAAATTATACCGTCCAGAGATAACTGCTGCTGTGATTTTGCTTATGCCCATTTATTGTTCTTTATACATGTATATTAATAAAAATGCAGTCACATTATACAATTGTTTTGTAATTTTCTTTTCCCTTTGTATTTTGAACTTTTCATCTGACCGCTAACCATCTAACTTCAGCATAATACTTCAGAGATTTTTGTGGGGTTGTTTTTTTAAGAATAATTTGTTTTGGCGTAGATGAGAATCTATTGTTTATGATGTATTTTTCACTTTTTAAATTGTGATTCAGGTGAAAGTTTACAAAGCGAAATGGTTTCCTGTTCAACAACGAAGGGCTTAACTTGATTAAAAGCAAGAGAAAGCAGCAGCCCTGCCCAGGCCCAGGGATTCTGACTGCTTCATCCTGCTGATCCTTGTTGAGTGTAGTCAAGTCAGCACTGCCGCACAGAGACCCTGTATACAACAGAACGAAACATTACCCCTCCTGTAGTCTTATCAGAATGCTGCTGTACTTAGCCCATTGTTACAGCCACTGTGTCAAACTGCGTCATTAAAGGTCTTCTTCTCTTTCTGCTAATTCCTTTTCATTGTCCTGGTATTGGAACAGACTCATAGCCAAGTCTCCCTCTGGCAAGTTTACAGAGACTGTCAGTTGCATGGGAGGAAATTGCCTATCTTTCTCTTGGTGGTTTTGAACTTTGATTTGGCAATGAACCTCTTAAGGACATATTTTTCTTTTTCAGTGGAACAAGGTTGCTACTGTCCATTCTAAGAGTGTTTATGAGAACTATATTGGGAGTTCTGGTGAATATGTTTTGAGGATTCTCTGCATGCAGGTTAGAAGGAAAACCTCTAATGAGATGAATGGATACAGTGACTGCTGCAGTAGGCTCAAGCATGTCAGAAAGGATAAGGATGGCACAGGAGAGGACAGGGGTCATAGGGCTGCTGTGAGTCGTACTCTACTCGACAGCACCTAACAACAGCCACCACCACCAGTATGAAGATTGGGGCATGGGCTAGAAATGAGGTTTTCTGTATTTCATTTGCCCATCTATTAGTAGTTTGTTAGTAACATTATATATAGGATATTGGCTAGCAGTCTATTTGAAGCTTGCTCTTCTGTTTTTTTCTGAATGAAAGCTAACCTGACTTTCATATCTGTAAAATGGGACAATACAATCATATCTTTTTTTTTTTTTACCGTGACTAGGTATCTGTTGGTTTGTTGTGCTGTCTTGATTTGTGTGCTGCTGTTAAGCTAGAAGCGATGACTCCAGTATTTCAGGGTTATTTGTAGGGTTCCCCATTGTGGACAGGCATCAGCGGAGCTTCCTGACTAAGATTAGCAAGGGCTCAGGAATATACTTGCGAATATCTGCCAATGAAAACGTTATGGATCACAACAGGATATTACCAGATACACGGCTAGAGGACGGATCCCTTAGGTTGGAATGTGTTCAAAGTACACAGTGACCTCAACAATGGATTCAAGCATACCAATGACTGTGTAGACAGTGCAAGACTGAATAGTATTTAATTAGAACTAAATTCAGTCACTAGGTGTTTTTCAAGGGATAATGAAAGGAAGTAAAATAAAGTTAAATCAAGTATTACGAAATAGCAGACATGGCCTGTGAAATCTTAGGTATGTAGCATGTTATGTTTTGGGCTGCTAACTTAAAAGATCAGTTGTTCAAATCCACCAGCTCCTTCCTCTGAGAAAGATAAGCAGTGTCCTTGTATAAATATTTACAACCTTGTAAAAGTTGGACAATGACCAAGGAGGATAGAAGGAGAACTGATGTCTTTGAGCTGTGGTGTTGGAGAAGAGTATTGAGAATACCATGGACTGCTAGGAAAACAAATAGATTCATCCTGGAAAGGGTTAAACTGGGTGGCTCCTTGGAGGAAAGGATTCTGAGGCTCCGTCTAGCCATCTAACATACTTTGGACATGTTGTAAGGAGAGACCGGTCCTTGGAGAAGGACATCATCCTTGGGAGTGTGGAGGGACGGTGCAGGAGGGGAAGGGCGTCTAGGAGATGGA